TTCATCTCAGCATTCCATCATGAAAAGCAGAACCCACTTACCTTAGGGAAAAGCACGTTACTCTCTGTAAAGGAATCACCTCTCAAAGGTCAAGGATGCACCCCATATCCCTCAAATCTTGCCTTTAACTTCTATTCCTAAATCTTTTTTGAGCCTACTTATGTTTTCAGCTGGTATTTACAGGCGTAGTCCCTGGAGGCCGGGCACTGTGGCTCATGCCTGTAATTGTAGCACTTTGGGAGGCTGAGGCAGGCAGATCACTTGAGGTTAGGAGTTCAAAACCAGCCTAACATGGTGAAATCCCACCTCTAATAAAAATACAAACAATGAGCCAGGCGTGGTGGCGCACACCTGTATTCCCAACTACTTGGGAGGCTGAGGCAGGAGAATCATGTGAACCTGGAGGCAGAGGTTGCAGTGAGCTGAGATCGCACCACTGCATGCCAGCCTGGGCGACAGAGGGAGACTCGGTCTCACACACACACAAAAAGTATAGTCCCTGGAGGAATAGAAAGATTTTAATTCCTAAGGAGGGAGCCCAAAGTGCTTTCTGAAAGCTTAAGGTACACGAGAAGGATGGGTCGTCTACTCACGGTTTCATCTTACTACCTTGTGGTGGGGGTGCTTCATAGGCCACTAACTTTGACTTTGTGTGAATCCATTTTTGCTATTTCATATTAAAATAATAAAGCAAAAAAGTAGAAAGGTGGTTTATGATGGGAGTGGCCATGGTTTTGTCTTTACAAATAAAATAGCATTTAAAATTTTTACATTTAAACTTTGTGGGCCATGTATAGGGTGAAGATGTAAGCATGGGCATCTGGATGGCAGCCATAGGACCTAAAAGATACCAGGTAAGTCTTTGGGGATGGCCTCAGGCTTCTTAAGAGTTGAGGAGGTGAGATTTCTACATACAGGTTGAGTGTCCCTTATCCAAAATGCCTGGGATCAGAAGTATTGAGGATTTCAGATTTTTTTTGGATTTTAGAATAATTGCATTATACTTATAAGTTCCACATCCCAAATCTGAAAACTGAAATGCTTCAGTGAGCATTTCCTTTGAGTGTCATGTTGGCTCTCAAAAAGTTTTGGGCTTGGCATAGTGGCACACGCCTGTAATCCCAACACTGGGAGGCCAAGGTGGGCATTATCACTTGAGCCCAGGAGTTCAAGACCAGCCTGGGCAACATGGCAAAACTCTCATCTCTACAAAAAGTACAAAAAAATTAGCTGGGCATGGCAGCGCCTCCCTGTGGTCCCAGCTACTCAGGAGGCTAAGGTAGAAGGGTCAACTTGAGCATGGGAGGTTGAGGGTGCAGTGAGCTGTGAATGCACCACTGCACTCCCACCTGAGCAATAGAGTGAGAGAGATTCTGTCTCAAAAAAAAAAAAAAAGTTGGATTTTGGAGCATTTTGGATTTCAAATTTTCAGATTTGGAATGCTCAGCCTGTAATGTATATCACACCATGGGCAGAAAGAATGAGGATCTTCTACCGTAATAGCTATGCTGTTGCTTTAATTCACAATAATCCACCTAGGTTATTTCTCATACAGTATTTTTCTGAGTTTAAAGCAAAAAGTTATAAATGAAAGTTCCCCTACCTACGAAAAATTCAGTTTCCATAGATTTGATCAGAAATTATTTTCAGCTTTGAAACTTAACAACAGAAGGCTGGGCGTGGTGGCTTATGCCTGTAAACCCAGCACTTTGGGAGGCCAAGGTGGGCGGATCACGAGGTCAGGAGATGGAGACCATCCTGGCTAACACAGTGAAACCCCGTCTCTACTAAAAATACAAAAAAAATTAGCCGGGTGTAGTGGCGGGCACGTGTAGGCCCAGCTACTCGGGAGGCTGAAGCAGGAGAATGGCATGAACCCGGGAGGCGGAGCTTGCAGTGAGCAGAGATCCGGCCACTGCACTCCAGCCTGGGCGACTGAGCAAGACTCCATCTCAAAAAAAACAAAAAATAATGACAGAATCCACTGATTGAGTGTGGCAGTCTAAGGATCCTTCAACCCTTCTGACCAATACAAATAAGACATTGCATGAAATATAAGACATCATTTAAAACACACTATTGCTGAACCAGAAAAAAAAAAAAATGAATCTGCAGAGACCAAAATGGAAACTAGAGACCTGGGAAGAAACCAAGCACAAAGCTGACTTTAGCTTTAGAGATTTCTGTTGAGTTCTGGATTCTTGCAGCTTCCACTTTGGCCATCGAAGGTGCAGGGGACAGAAGGCACATGCAGTGTCTGGCAGTTAGAAGCCCAGCATAGAGCTGGGGCCCAGAGCAGCTCTCAGAAGTCAACCCACATCTCTGTGTCCACTTTGATAGTCCGATTCCTTTGTTGTACTTTCAGTCTCATCTTTGAACAGAATTATTTTTGTATCTGATAACTCTGGGATCTGTAGTCTTTGCTGGGTCTGATTCTGCAGTTTCCTGTTTCTACAGACTGTTGTTCATGGGGCTTGTTTTCTGATGTGTTGAAGAGTTTTGTTTTTGTTTTTTGTTTTTTTTTGTGACCGTGTTGTCTTTGGAAACTGAGTCCTTATTTAAAATGCGTTCCTACAGAGAGGATTTACATTTTTTTCTACCATGCACTAGGAAAACTACCATCTATGAATACTTCAGATTTTTGACTTGAACTGTTGGGCTTACAGAGACTGACTACCAGCCCCAGACCTACCTAAGTGCACGCTGTGGGTAGGCGCTCGGGAGAGAGATGCCTTTCCATCCCACTGAGGGGCGAGACTGAGACAGACAAGCCGAGTTTGTTTTCTCATATACCCCCTGAGGCTGTGGCCCCTAGAGATCCTAGCTCTGTGTCAGTCTCCCATTAGTCTCCTGTCCCTGGGCTTGGCCTTTCATAACCCAAGGATCGGCAGCCGCCTTCAGGGCACATGCTGACTCAGCACTTTCTCCTACCGGTTTCTTCTTTCTTCATGGAGTTCTGCCATGCTTTATAAAGGTGTTTCATTTTGCCCAACATTTTTGTGTTGTCAAAACATTGAATGAGTTTCTCTCTGTGTTCTGCTATATTGCTGAAAACAGAAGCCAATTCATGTAGCTAGGAAATAGTCTAGTGGTTAAGAACTTGAGCTTGGGAGTCTTTAATCCCTCCTCTTCATTTACCAGCCCTGTGACCTTGAACAAGTTACTTAACTCTTAGTTTGTTCCTCAGTTGTAAGAGGGAAATAGCTCCTACCTCACAGCATTACTGTGAGAACTGAGTGAAATATTTACAAAGTGCTTGGGTAGAGTCCCCACAATATTGTAAGCATTCCATCAGAGTAATAGCTGTTATTAATACTGCCATAGACACACCTTTAATAGCAAACACGAAACTCACTTGTGGTTTCTAAAATCATTCATTACAGAATTGCATTTGTTGACTAACTCTTCATCCACACACGGCCTTGTTTCTGTATTCCACAGCCACAGGACTGTGGGACCTGGTGTTTTCCCCAATCAGGAGGTACCACCCCCAAACCTCACCAGTTGGTCCACACGGAGTTATCCTTGAAGTAATTTCAGCATCATTCGAATAGATAAAAACTGTCTACGTGCAGACTTTCTGACGCTCTTAAAACAGTTTCACCACTCTCAGATCAGCTTTGGTTATTTTTCAACAGGACAGCCTGTGGCTGTGTGAGAAGACCTGTGAGACAGGAATGCTGTCTTCTCCTCAGTATTCTCCATGGGAACTGACAGAACTGTGGAAACTGAAGGAACGGTGCGGTGATCCTTGTCGGTGTGAAGCAAGATAACAGGGACTTGAATTAGCAGCATCTAGAATCAGGGCAGGCAAACGATAATCTGAGTGCAAGTGTGAGGAGTCCCAGGGTTTAGCTGTAGACTGTACGGTCTTTCAAGAGTTCCAGACCGGCACTTTCACCCGGAACCAATGCGGTGTTTCTTAATGTTTGCACAAATTTCCTTCTTAAAAATCAACTGGTACTGTAGCATAAGAAAAGTTTATATATTGGAAGATTATCAGAAAAATACCAAGTTATTTTATAAAAAAAAAAAATTTCTAAATCCTGATGCATTGTGGCTAATTAGTAATCACCATTACCTGTAATTTTTGGTTAAAACTTGGCCTCGTTCAGAATCTGTAGTAGTAACTGAGAGTTTGAATTTCAACCTGGATTGCAGGATAGCTCTGTAGAGTTTAATGAGGATAATTATCAGACAAAAAGAACTCACAGGAATGCTGTGTGATCGTGTGATCACATATTTGAGCAGTGGTCACTTATACCAAAGTTTGGGGTTTCTGGAAATAACGTCAGATTTTGTGGATCTCTGAAGTGGGCAACTTGAACTGGAAGAGGAACCAATCTGATTCTCAGTTCTGAACCTTGGTTTTAAAGAAGTCCATTTATACGGCAGACTCATATCCAAGTTTTCTTTCTGCATCTAACATAAATCCTGAAGGTCAGTTTAGTACTCATAGTTTTTAAATGCTAAATTTTTGTGAATATGAATAAAAGCAAATACCTCTCAGGGTTTTAGTGGCATCGGGAAGGATATTTCTAAATTGTTGACATTTTGAAAGAATTAGTTTTGCTTTCCTCCTATCATTGCCTAAAGTTTACCTAATATGAGTACATTTCAATCAGAGCTGGTTATCTTCTACGCAAGAAGATACACTCAGCTTAGGTATAATTGTAGGGAAAAAGCATGTGATTAATTTAAGCACTCTTAGAAAATAGTGCAATTGAGAAGACAGATAATAGCATACTTGTTATACACAGTAGAGGATGTGTCTCCCCAAGTTTAAGGGACATTTCCCAAAATGACCAGCCAAATCGTTTTAGTAACCCTTTAAAATAGTAGTATCAATAGAGAATTCCATTAAAACTAGTCTTATGACAGACATTAACTGTGTTCAGATTTTATTAGGCTAGCTAGTTTCTATTTAATATTTAAATCTTATCATAAAATGCAGTGATGAACTGTAAAAATAAATATGAAATACGATCAGAAAATTGTTAGTAGGTTCAAAGCCTTTATTACTGCTATTATGTATAAGCCTAGAAATGGTCGCTTCCCAACAAAAACTACATCAGTGGTGAAAATACATCCCTTGTTATCCTTAGGGCAAGTTGTAAACCCCTTTGTTTTTGACAGAATTGTTCCAGTGGATCATTTATTTCCGATGAACCCCAGACATGATAAGCAGTGCAGTCTCTAAATTTTATTAGTTGGTTGTTACCATCGCACTAATAGACAATCTTCATTTTCCACAGAATAAAAACGTAATGACTGTAGGTCATTTTCCAGCTTGATTTCTATGCCCGGCTCCTAAAATTAGAAGGAAGGTAGGGAAGGATGTGATTAAGACAGATCTGATAAAGCATGTTACACATACTCTACCCCATCCCCCGGCAGTAGCTTACCCTTAAAATCAAACAGATCTATGGTCGCCATTTAGAATCAAACTGTTGCTATCTAGAGACAGTTTAATGTCGTCATGAGGACGAAGCTTGACTTTGTTTTTTCCTGGGCAACTTACTTTCGGACTTTCATAGGACAACAGAAGGTCTGACACAGGAACTTTGAGAAGACGTGACAGCCATCCCTTCACCTTTTGAATTGTCATGGAGCCTATCAAAAGACAAGAAAAGTCCATTCATTCTCTCAAATGACACTTGTAAAACTAGCTCATGTGATGAGACCACAGTATTATTGCAATGATAGCTGTATCTGTCTTTTTTTTTTTTTTGGAGACCGTCTCGCTCTGTTGCCCAGGCTGGAGTGCAATGGTGCAATCTCGGCTCACTGCAACCTCCACTTACCGGGTTCAAACGATTCTCCTGCCTCAGCCTCCCGAGTAGCTGGTGCCTGTCACCACACCCAGCTAACTTTGGTATTTTTAGTAGAGACGGGGTTTCACCATGTTGGCCAGGCTGGTCTCAAACTCCTGACCTCGTGATCCGCCCTGGCCTCCCCAAGTGCTGGGCTTATAGGCGTGAGCCCAGGGCCTGGCTATATCTGTCATTTTACCCAAGTCACTTTACCCAAGGAAGTAATTAGGGGAAAGCCTGAGTCTTTGTACCACCTGTTCATTTGGGGAACTGTGGGAAACGGAGCCAACGGACCTAAGTGCCCTTTGACAGTGAGTTTCATACCATTTCAGTAGTGTATTTCTTTCTTAATCTGAATAAACCAGAATGATACTCTCAGCACAGAATAATAATGGGAGTGAGTCTTTAACGTTTTCTTTTTAAACCTTTGTGATGACTTCCTTATGAATTACTGAACAAACACTGGAATGGGACTCAGGTATCCTGAGGACATCTCTCAACTCTGGCCTTAGTTCCACCTCTGTAAAATGAGGGTGTCGACTAAATGATCTACAAGGTCCCTTCCAGCACCGCCATTCTGTAATTATGTCATGTGTAACTGTGTTAAACATACACAAGTGACTGCCAGGCATGGGAATGTAACTTCCGAGTCAACGCTTTGGCTTGTTGAGAATATACTATGAACTTCTTTCCAAAGATGGGTTGTGGTAAATAGTGGATATTTTGATTATGAGAAACAGAGTTTCCTTGAAGCTTTAGCTGGAGATACAGCAATAGTGTGGTGTTCCTACAAATATCACAGTGTATTCAAACATATTTTTCTATCAAAAATCATTTTTGTAAAAGCTGTGTGTTTTTATGCAACTTGTGATAATAAATGTTATCTTTATTTTAGAATAAAAACTGGCCTTTTTGTATGTATTGAATACAGTTAATAGAATGTATAATTTTAATTAACAAAATTTGCTCTTTCATGTGTGAATATGTGATAGTCTAGTCCTTTTAAAAGATTTAGATGGACTGGCTTTCATTGTTGGAGCCTGGTTAGAGAAGGGGTTAACTGCTGCACACCAGTGGGAAATGACATCCTCCTAACATGTGACAGAAACAGAAAGTTTGGTCATAAAACAATTCTAATAAGAAATCTGCCTGGCCTGCTCACACCTGTAACCCCAGCACTTTGGGAGGCAGAAGGATCAGAGCCCAGGAATTCGAGACCAGCCTGGGCAACATGAGGACACCCCATCTCTACAAAAAATAAAAAATTAGCCAAGCATAACAATGTACGCCTCTAGTCCCAGCTACTTGGGAGGATCACTGGAGCCCAGGAGGTCAAGGCTACAGTGAGCCATGATCGCGCCACTGTACTCCATCCAGCCTGGGTAACAAAGTGAGCCCTGTCTCAAAAAAAATCTGCCTACTCATAACGGTTCTATAGAAGAAAGTAGCAATTTTTATGTAATAAATAGCATTACCATTCTTAATATACTAACATGACTGTCTTAACATTCAGAAAATATGGAAATAGCTAATTATTTCTTTTTACCTGCCTATGACCAATGTTAAAAATTTGAGAGGTTTACCTCTAGGCCTTTTTTTTGTATGTTCATATAAGGATGTATAGGTTTTAAGCCAGGCGCAGTGGCTCACACCTGTAATCCCAACACTTTGGGAGGCTGAGGTGGGCAGATCACCTGAGGTCAGGAGTTTGAGACCAGCCTGGCCAACATGGAGAAACCCTGTTTCTACTAAAAATACAAAAATTAGCCGGGCATGGTGGCGGGGCGCCTGTTAATCCAGCTACTTGGGAAGCTGAGGCAGGAAGAGTTGCTTGAACCCGGAAGGCAGAGTTTGCAGTGAGCCAAGATCATTCCACTGCACTCTAGCTTGGGTGACAGAATGAGACTCCGTCTCAAAAAAAAAAAAAAAAAAAAAGGATGTATAGGTTTTATAATATATTGACCTACTATATTTGTATTTCTTTATGACATGACGGTATAGCTTTTCATGCCAATTCCATGCCATGTCCTCTAGACATACACTGCCCAATATGGCAGCCACATGTGGTACTGAGCACCTGGAATGCGGCGAGTATGACTGAAGAACTGAATTTTATTTTAATGAATTTAAATAGCCACGTGTGGTTATTGCAGTCACACTGGGCAGCGCAGCTCTAGACCTGCTTCATTCTCCTCAGTGACACATGACAGTGCCTTGTGTGCTGTGTGGTTCTACCAGAGCTTATTCACCATTCCCCCACTGGCAAGTATTTAGATTCTTATTATCTTTACCATCACAAATGCTGTAAGACACAATGCTTGGTCAGAGCGTACGTGTATTTTTAACTTTGTACAGTAATTCCCACATGACTTTACAAAAAGGGTATACTGCTTTTTCATGCCAGCCAGTATTATTTTAATTTTGCTAATCTAATGGATTAAAAAAATGGTATTGCTTTTTTTTTTTTTTAATTTTAGACAGGGTCTCACTCTGTCACCCAGGCCAGATTGCAGTGGCTCAATCACAGCTCACTGCAGCCTCAACTTCCCAGGCTCAAGCCATCCTCCCACCTCAGCTGCCCAAGTAGCTGGGACTACAGGCATGCACCACCACACCCAGCTAATTTTTGTATTTATTTATTTTTGTAGAGATGGGGTTTCACCATGTTGCTCAGGCTGGTCTCGAACTCCTGGGCTCAAGCAATTTGCCCACCTTGGCCTCCCAAAGTGCTAGGATTACAGGTGTGAGCCACCATGCCTGGCTATTACTTTTCTTTTTAGAAGACATTTACCTATGGTGGTGGTCAAATATCTGCAGTATGTGGCATAAGAATTAGTATTAAGAACCTTGGTATGAGTGAGTGAGTGAGTGAGTGAGTGCACATTTGAGGAACAGAAAAGCAAATAAAGGGGGAAAAAAGAACCCTCGTAATCTGCTGGCTTACTGCTGAGTTTATAGAACACAGGACTCAGACTCTGAAAATAGTAATTCTTACATAGAATTTCTATGGATAGTCGAATCTCTGCAGCTCTACCCGAAGAGTAATAAAAACAGCCTGAATGCAGTGGGTGTTCCCAAAATGGCTAACTGAATCTCAGAAGACCTGGGATACCAGTCAGGTGTACAGTGTGGAAGTAGAGAAGGGTAAGGTGGCACTGTCACCCCCAGCCAAGGGCTGCATTCAGGCATATGCCCAGATGACAGGACTTGACAGGTCTACCTCAGTGCCTTCCAGAGGAAGACTGCAGAGGAAAGCTTAACGAAGCAGGTCTGATGACAGTATTCTTGAGCAAATACTCCATAGTGGTGACATTCCCATTAATTGATTTGATGTATCTGCAAAGGCAAAAGGAAACACGCAAAGACATCGAAGGCCAAAAACATTCACAGAAAGTCCTGGCCCTCCAGGCACGGTGGCTCACACCTATAATCCCGACACTTTGGGAGGTGATGATAGGAGAACAGCTTGAGCTCAGGAGTTTGAGGCCAGCCTTAGCAACATAACGAGGCTTCATCTCTACTAAAAGTCAAAAAAATAGCAGGGTGTGGTGGTTTGTGCCTATAGTCCCAGCTACTCAGGAGGCGGAGGTGGGAGGATCACTTGAGCCTGGGATCAAGGTGATGGAGCCTGCAGTGAGCCGAGATGTCACTCCAGCCTGAGTGACAACCAGACCCCGTCTGAAAAACAATAAAAAAATAAAACAGTCCTGGCCCTCTTTGACTAGTCTGTGTCCACCAGGGCCTTTACTGGCAGTATTTAAGTTTGAAAACAGAATAATGAAAGGGGAAATCACTAATTCTAATCCATTATATAGCAGTAGCCAAATTACGTATTACAGGAGTAGAAACTAGATTGTGAATAAATAAAAATGGAGACGTTCTGGTAAATTAACACTAAATGGATGGTTATCAATCAGAAAGCTACTTCTGTGAACACAACTAAAGCCTGCTTTATATAAGCAACACCATGATAAGCTTGCTTTATCTGACAGAAACTAATTTAAAAATCAATGGGAATTTACTGCACTGACGGGCAAACAAACCCAGTGTACTAGAGTCATTAAGCTGATGTGTATTTCATTTATTTAAATCCTCACTGCTCTAAATTTACCGTTTATATTTTAGCAGTTAGCTATGAGTCAAGTTTAATCTTGAGAATTCACAGTATCATGGCAAACTCAAAAATAGACTATAATTTCATTTTTATTTTGAGTGAAAGTTTAAGGTAAGTTATATTGATCTAATTTATTGACACAAGCATATTTATTTTCCAAATAAAAGTAATTCAGTTCCAGTAGCACTTTTTTTTTTTCTTTAAAGTTCTAAGGTAGTTTTCCCAAAACCATTTCAGGGTGTCCATTAAAAGAGCATCTACAAATTGTTTTTGCAGGGACTCCTGATCCATCAGGAAAAGAAGTAGAAAGTAAGCAAAGTCACCAACCTCCCATAAGAATTCAGTTCACCAGGACACAGCTCCTCGCTTATGAAGGGATGAGAAGCAGACCCCAAACCCAGTGTCACAGTCTCCCTGGAAACAGCAACAGGCTTGGGGAATGCTTCTGAAAGTCTGTGCCATTCAAGATCTCAGGCTTTTGGTTAAAAATACAATTTAGGCCAACTGCAGTGGCTCATGCCTATAACCCCATCACTTTGGGAGGCTGAGGCAGGCGGATGGCTTTGAGCTCAGGAATCCGAGACCAGCCTGGGCAACATGGCGAAACCCATCTCTACAAAAAATACAAAAATTAGCCGGGCGTTGGTGGCTCACACCTGTAGTCCCAGCTACATGGAGGCCGAGGCTGGAGAAATGCTTGAGCCCAGGAAGCAGAGGCTGCTATGGGCTGAGATGGTGCCACTGCACTCCAACCTGGGTGACATAGAGGCCCTGTCTCAAAATAAAATTTTGTGTGTGTGTGTGTGTGTGTGTGTGTGTGTTTGTGCGTGTAATTATATGCAGGGGCTTCCAATTTTAAGAAAACTGCTTTCAGCTGATAAAGTTATGGGAGACTTGAACTTTTGGGGGCATGGGGGAGTGACATTAGCATGATTGATTGTATTTTAGAATATAAAAGACTAATGAAAACCTCTAAGCTCTGAGGTCCACACTTTGAGACATGAGTTAAAGGTTTTAATTTTAGCTGACTCATACCTAGGCCACTGATTCAGAGTTTAAGGAAAAGATAGGCTCATTTTTCTTACCCGGCAGTTGTTTCTCTAGGACTTTCTGATCAAGTTGATCAGGGTATTTTATCTTCAGTGCTTTAAGAGAAACAAAGAAAAAGACTAATTGATATCTACTATTATATGGATTTAAATTATCCACACACATCAACAGATGGCCAAATGATAGAGCTATGCAGTGCAAATTGGCAGGTCTAATCAATGTTTAAAATCCTTCCATGAATTGCTAACAACAACAAAAATAGCTAGACACCACTTTCCCTTTTCCCTGCTTAGTGCTTCTTTCCTGATCCCTTTCCCTGCTTAGTGCTTCTTTCCTGACAGCTTGGACAGGTTTTCAAGTCATAAATTCACAAATCACAATTTGGTTCACAACTCCATTACCTCCCACATTTATAACACTATTAAATGAGTTTAAAACATAGGAGTTGCAAAAATGTATAAGAATTTAGATATGTTTTAAAGAATTCATTTCTTTGGGTGTGGTGGCTCACGCCTCTAATCCCAGAATTTTGGGAGGCCAAGGCGGGTGGATCTCCTGAGGCCAGGAGTTCGAGACCAGCCTGGACAACATGGTTAAACCCCGTCTCTACTAAAAATACAAAATGAGCTGGGCATGGTGGCACATGCCTGTAATCCCAGCTACCTGGGAGGCTGAGGCAGGAGAATCACTTGAACCCGGGAGGTGGAGGCTGCCGTAAGCCGAGATCGTGCCACTGCACTCTAGTCTGGCAACAAGAGCAAAACTCCATCTCAATTTAAAAAAAAAAAAGTTAGCTGGGTGTGGTGGTGTATGCCCATAGTCCCAGTTACTCCAGAGGCTGAGGCAGGAGAATCACTTAGAACCTGGGAGGCAGAGGTTGCAATGAGCTGAGATCATGCCACTGCACTCCAGCCTGGGGGACAGAGGGAGACTGTCTCAAAAAAAAAAAAAAAAAGAATTCATTTAAAACTCAAAGCATTTACTTAAGTACTTAAGAGATACACACTTAAAAGAAACACACTATTTGTTTCGGCACCTAAGGACTCAAATACAAATAAACTATTTGAATCTGAGCATCTTACTTAGTAGCTGGTTTTTGAGCATAAATGGTTGTTGTGTTTTGAGTTCCCAATCTTCAGGTACACCATATTCTGTTTAAGAAATCAAAAGAGATGAATGATAAACCAAAGGCCACTATAAGGGGGAAAAAAAAAAAAAGCATAGGTAAGTATCCAGACAGCCTGTGCCTTTCCCTGGACACATGGAGCTGCCTTTACTCAGTGTGATTTTTAGGAGTGATAGACAACAACCACTCCTAAGGGCAGAATCGTCCGTCTACCCAGAGCTGCAGACTCTAACTTATCTGGCTCATTGTTAATGACCAGTGAAGCTCAACAGAAGACAATAAATGAAAAGCAGCGTGTTTACATGTGTATTACATCATTGTTCCTTAGGTGTCCTGACTCAAACTAGCAAGAGAAGACTGCCCTCAAATACTTCAAATGTTTTCCCCGAGTGTCACCTTTGGTAACAGTTCTTTATGCGCCGAGAGAAACCTGGTGCCACCTGAGACACAATCCACAAGACACCTTCCCTAAGTTTCAACCAGACCGTGCAGTGCCAGGCTGGGCGCTCAGTACCACACTGCAAACCAGTTCCTCGGCCAGGACCACAACCTCCATAGAAGAGGAGGAAAGCAGAACTTTTTTCCTGCTCTACGCCAAACAGTGACAGAATTTCTCTAAATCCCCCCCTGTTTGTCTTCTAGCATTCTGAGCAGTGAATACTCAACAATACCTGGCCAGCTGCTTCAGAATCTTCCCTTGCCCACCCCCAAGTGATTTCGAATTCAAGGAGTGGAGCGTGGCCAGGAAATTGGGCCGGCTAATGGAGTAATTTGAAAGTGATTCCTCCAGGCTGCTTTTCTTCCTTAAAGATACTGTTCAAGCCTAAAGCGTGTATGCAGTGAGCTTCTTGCATTAAGAAATATAAAAAAGGAAAATCACATAAAAGCGAAATGTGGAATAATAATGAAGGCAAAACAAAATGGAAAGTACAACAGGGACAAAGACTCATGAATTCTTAGCTTCAAAGTCTGAAGAACCAGGCTGGAGGATTTAACGAACCACCGTGCATGCCAAGTACCAGCCTTGGTAGTGAGCCCTGGGGATGAGAGCTTACTGCAGAACTACACTCTCATGCGAACTTCCCTGTTCACTAGAACTACCTGTGGGGCTTTAAAAAATACGGATGCCGGCCGGGCGCAGTGGCTCTTGCCTGTCATCCCAGCACTTTGGGAGGCCGAGGCGGGCGGATCACCTGAAGTCAAGAGTTTCTGAGACCAGCCTGGCCAACCTGGTGAAACCCCATCTCTACTAAAAATACAAAAAAATTGGCCAGGCGTTGTCGCAGACGCCTGTAATCCCAGCTCCTCAGGAGGCTGAAGCAGGAGAATCGCTTAAACCCAGCAGGTAGAGGTTGCAGTGAGCCGAGATCGCGCCATTGCACTCCAGTCTGGACAACAGGAGTGAAACTCTGCCTCAAAAAAAAAAAAAAATAGGATGCCTCAGAGAGAACCTGGAGTGCTTCCTACCCTTTCTACAGTGGAGCATGGTGCACCACCTGAAACCTAGTGAACATGTGCAAAGAGAACATATATTTAAGAAGTGCTTTCCTGGCCAGGCACAGTGGCTCACCCCTGTAATCCCAGCGCTTAGGGAGGCCGAAGTGGGCGGATCACGAGGTCAGGAGATCCAGACCATCCTGGCTAACATGGTGAAACCCCATCTCTACTAAAAATACAAAAAATTAGCTGGGCGTGGTGGTGGGTGCCTGTAGTCCCAGCTACTCGGGAGGCTGAGGCAGGAGAATGGCATGAACCCGGGAGGTGGAGCTTGCAGTGAGCCAAGATCATGCCACTACACTCCAGCCTGGGCGACAGAGCGAGCCTCCGTCTCAAAAAAAAAAAAAAAGAAGTGCTTTCCCGGCCGGGCGTGGTGGCTCATGCCTGTAATCCCAGCACTTTGGGAGGCTGAGGCAGGCAGATCACAAAGTCAGGAGTTCAAGGCCAGCCTGGCTAGCATGATGAAACCCCATCTCTACTAAAAATAAAAAAAAAATTAGCCATGCATGGTGGCGCATGCCTGTAATCCCAGCTTCTCAGGAGGCTGAGGCAGGATAATTGCTTGAACCTGGGAGGCAGAGGTTGCAGTGAGCCAATACTGCACCACTGCACTCCAGCCTGGGCAACAGAGTGAAACTCCGTCTCAATAAAATATATACAAAAATTAGGCATAGTGGTACGCGCCTGTAGTCCCAGCTACTCTGGAAGCTGAGGCAGGAGAATCACTTGAACCCAGGAGGTGGAGGTTGCAATGAGCTGAGATTGTGCCACTGCATTCCAGCCTCGGTGACAGAGCAAGACCCTGTCTCAAGAAAAAAAAAAAAAAGAAAAAGAAGTGCTTTCCTGCCGGGCATGGTGTCTCACACCTATAATCCCAGCACTTGGAGAAGCTGAGGTGGGTGGATCACTTGAGGTCAAGAGTTCGAGACCAGCCTGGCCAATACGGTGAAACCCCATCTCTACTAACAATATAAAAATTAGCTGGGCGTGGTGGCGGGCGCCTCTAATCCCAGCTACGAGGGAGGCTAAGACAGGAGAATAACTTGAACCCGGGAGGCAGAGGTTGCAGTGAGATCACCCCAGCCTGGGCGACAGAGCAAGACTCCATCTCTTAAAAATAAAAAAATTGCGTTCCCTTCCCCAAATGCAACTCTCTCCATTTCAAGAACATACACAGTCTCCCAGGTTCTTCCTGCTGAGAGACACTGCTCTTGCCCTGCTGCCCTTGCCCCAGGAAAGTACCTATAGTCTATTCAGATGAACAGAAAAAGCCCAGGAAAGGAAGGGCAAAAGCAACACTGAGAACCTCTTTTGATACCCAAGGGAACACTTTGTTCCAGCGGGAAATCCGCCACCCGCAGGCCACCAGCGTATACGCACGTACTCAGGCAGAGGAACTGGTATCTAGGATGGGCTCTGAGGAATTCTTCGCTGAGTCTGTTTTTGTCCGGATCCTGATGTCCACCAGCCTGTTTCCACTCATTTCCAAAAGCTTTTCGATAGTCAAGCTCAGCTGTCCGCCTCTCCTTGGGGAGAATCTATGTTGGTGTGACATAAAAACAAATCTATTAGAAAGACTTTTTCTAACAAGTCCTTTGCGTTTTGCACTTTGTCCTTCCTCCACAGCACATGCAGAGAATAATCAAATTGAGAGGGACAAGATATAGTTTTCACTCTTCTTTTTAACATTGACAGAACTCAGGGGTTATTAGAAAAGAAAAAAGAATTTGTTTTACACTTTTTTAAAAAATTTGAGATGGAGTCTCGCTCTGTTGCCCAGGCTAGAGTACAGTGGTGTGATCTCAGCTCACTGCAACTTCTGCCTCCCAGGTTCACATGATTCTCCTGCCTCAGCCTCTGGAGTAGCTGGGATTACAGGTGCACGCCACTATGCCCGGCTAATTTTTTTGTATTTTTAGTAGAGACGGGGTTTCACCGTGTTAGCCAGATGGTCTCGGTCTCCTGATCTCGTGATCCACCAACCATGGCCTCCCAAAGTGCTGGGATTACAGGCGTGAGCCACCATGCCTGGCCTACGCTTTTAATTCATGAGAGTACTTGCACATAGGCCAGTTTCAGGACTATGCCAGGTCCCTTGGGTCACCTCCTCGAGGTCTGCCTGGAGGCGCCTGCCCTGGTGGAGCTGACTGACTCCCAGTGAATGCACAAAAGTGCTGGCAAGGACAAGGCATGGGCTTCCCACTTTTATGGGGAAGAGTAGCTGAGAAGGAGAAGAGAAAGCAGCTCTGTGGTTCGGTTCTTTTTGCCTACATTTCCTGAAAACATGGAGAAGCTGCCTGGGATTCCTCAAACGACAGCGCACTGATGTCGCTGCTGTCTCCTGAGGAGCTGGAAAAGAACCGTTATTATGAAACTGCACAAGGCTAATCTTTTACCTTTCCGAAGAAAGCTACATCTCACCTCCTTTACAATATTCAAAAACAATTCCTTTTTACTTTTTTTTTTTAATTAAGACAGGGTCTCACTCCATTGCCCAGGCTGGAGTGCAGTGGCATGTTCATGGCTCACTGCAGCCTTGGCCTCCCAGGCTCAGGTGATTCTTCCACCCCAGCCTCCTGAGCAGCTGGGACTACAGGCACTTACAGGCGTGTAACACCACGCAGCAATTTTTGTATTTTTTGTAGAGATGGGGTTTCACCAGGTTGCTCAGGCTGGTCTCGAACTCCTGGACTCCAACAATCAGCCTGCCTCAGCCTCTCAAAGTGCTGGGATTACAGGCGTGAGCCATGGCGCGTGGCCTAAAATCATTTATTTTCTAGTCTAAAAAACAGCTAGTCATGACGCCAGTGCTCACCTCGCATTTGTTCAGGGTCTTCAGCTGGCCAATGCTGGCGATAATGAGCTGCCGCGTCATGTTTGCTGCTTTGTCCTCCTTGGTCAGGGGGTTTCTTAGGCAGGACAAAGCCCGTAGACTTGGTAACTTGTCTAGCTCATTGAAAAATGACCACTGAAACACAGCAAAAGGAAATAAATGAAAAGCAGTATGTTTCGTGCTACTTTTGCAGAAGTTGGAACCAGCGACAGGAAAGCAAGTCCCTACTTCTAATCTGAGGCAGGGAATTTCATCACCCACCAAGCAACCCCCTCTAGAAAGACCACATACTTTCACTCTTTTTTTTTTTTTTTTTTTTTTTTTTGAGACTGAGTTTCGCTCATTTCCCAGGCTGGAGTGCAATGGTGCAATCTTGGCTCATCGCAGCCTCTGCCTCCGAGTTCAGGCGATTCTCCTGCCTCAGCCTCCCAAGTAGCTGGGATTACAGGCATGTGCCGCCATGCCCAGCTAATTTTGTAATTTTTTTTTTTTTTTTTTTAGTAGAGATGGGGTTTCACCATGTTGGTCAGGCTGGTCTCGAACTCCCAACCTCAGGGGATCCGCCCGCCTCGGCCTCCCAAAGTGCTGGGAATATAGGATTGAGCCACCACGCCCAGCCACTTTTGCTCTATTAATGTGCCATTTGAGTGTGAAGTCCACTTAGGTGTGAAGTGAACTAATTTCTTTCTTAATATTTTTGGCTTCATATGAGGAGTTCCACGCTGAGGAGGTATTTCTCTTTTGATTTAGGGGTTTTTTTTTTTACTTTTTGGTAGAAGGAACCTCTGAACTCTGCCATGACAATGGAAAGAGGCAACAGTGTGCTGGGCATACTCCGAAGCAGCTCTTACTTGTGATATCTGATTGTCATTTACTACAAGGTACTGCAAGGACGGGAACATGGAGGTTTTGCACCCTATAAAAAGAGGAATGAAGTTACACAGTAGAAGTGAAAGAAGTAGCTAAAGTATAGCATGGGGGGGCAGGATGGAACTTTACTAATCTTATATACCAATTCCAGCATCCGGAAAATGTATAGAAGAAATTCCAACGTCAGAGAGGATTAATTGTTCTAACCTGAAATTCAAAATGTAAAATTTGATTACACAGAACACTCTAAAATGCTATGGGGTATCAACCAGACTCGGTTTGTAAATTGTTTTCTACACCCTAGGTTTTTAATCCCATGTAAAATACTTAGAAACCATGAAGTCCAACTTAGGACATGCAAAGTGAACTCTTTATCCTATATTCTAATGACTCGATAGTCACCTAATGGTTCTTGAGTACCTACTGCTGCGTCAGGTGCTAAACGCATCTCAGAGGAAAGAGACACAGTCTACTGCCCGGAGTTTAACGAGTGAAGACTATCGGCAATATCGCCAGGGTCAAATTATTCATTCTTCAAATTATCTGGTACAGACATAGTCCACATTATACAGCGTTCACAAGTACATTTTCTAAATGAATTCAAATGAAAATTTTCTAAAGGGAATTACTCAATTTAGAAATTCCATCATTGTTACCACGTTTCTACTGAGAAAGCATACATAGTATATAAAAATTGCTTCACTAAGAATTGACTGAACACTATTGTATCAGGCATTTAGAGGCAAATTACCTGGGCAGGTGGGCTATCAGATACAGCTGATTTTCATCAATTAATTGATTAGAGGAAAGGTCTAATAACTTGACTGTCTGGAGAACATCTGTTGGCCTGTATGGAAAATAAAATTTTTTCACTGTGAATTTCTCTTTTGTTTTCAAAGAGACAGCCTTAAAATGCCTGCATTTGATGCGATGGAGGGTTGGGGGTAAAAAGCAAGTGGATATGACTATAAAAGGGCAACCTGAGGGGTGCCTCTGGCAATGCACAAATTCCTGCCGGTGTCAATGTCCCACCTAGCCTGTGATCCTATTTCATAGTTTTACAACTTGTTACCAATGGGGGAACCTGGGTCATGGGTACAAGTGATATCTGTGTATCATTTCTTATAAAACTTGATGTGAATCTATGATTACCTCAAAATTAAAAAATTTAATTTAAAAAACCTGCAGGCCAGGCACAGTGGCTCACGCCTGTAATCCCAGCACTTTGGCAGGCCGAGGTGGGCAGATCACCTGAGATCAGGAGTTCAAGACCAGCCTGGCCAACATGGTGAAACCCCATCTCTACTAAAAATACAAAAATTAGCCAGGCATGGTGGGCCGTGCCTGTAATCCCAGCTACACAGGAGGCTGAGGCAGGAGAATCACTTGAACCAGGGAGGCGGAGGTTGCAGTGAACCGAGATGGCGCCACTGCACTCTAGCTGGGCAACAGGAATGAAACTCTATCGCAAAAAAAAAAAAAAACACACTTGCATTTGCCTACATAATGAAACCCTTCTGTACACGAAAATCTTTAAGATTCTGAATCCTTTAATTCAGAATCTGTTGTAAATTTTCTCCCACAATTAGGTTAATTTTACACAGTAATTTAATATTATTAATAAAAAAAGGGAGATGAGGCAACAATATATTTCAGAGAACAAGGTTTTACATGTACTTTGGTACAATGACCTGAAACAGATGATGCTAATGAAAAATACATTATTTAATCCTTACAGCATATCCTACAGAACTTCTATTTAGAAATAGCAAATTGGCTGGGCACAGTGGCTCACAAGGTCAGGGGTTCAAGACCAGCCTGGCCAAGATGGTGAAACCCCGTGTCTACTAAAAATAAAGAAAATTAGCCAGGCGTGGTGGCAGGCGCCTATAATCCCAGCTACTCAGGAGGCTGGGGCAGGAGAATCGCTTGAACTCAGGAGGCGGAGGTTACAGTGAGCCGTGATCACCGCTGTACTCCAGCCTGGGCGACAGAGTGAGACTCCGTCTCAAAAAAAAAAAAAAGAAAAGAAAAGAAACAGCAAGCAGCAAGTTAATACACTGATGCAAAACTAAGATAACTCATGTCTTCACAAATACTTAATTCTGACGAGTTTCCTTTGATTAGAACCAATTAGTCAAATTCTAATTTGCGAAGGCAATGAATAATAAGCATTTTTCCTAATTCTTGTTTACAAATCTTCTAAAAATTAAGGTGAGATATAATTGAGACCATCTGTTTACTCAGAATGATGACTAATGGGGATAGATGCATTTAAGTAAGCCCTAGTTACCTTTCGGAAATGACAATATTGTTAGACTCCAGGTAGAGTTCCTCCAGGCCCGGGCACCAGGCGGCACACCGCAGCACCTGGAAGAGAAACTCGGCTCAGGCTCAGGTGGCCTCTGTTGGCTGTTTCTTCCCGGGCATTCACAGGAACCACCACAAGGATTCAGCTCAGTTACTGTTTCAGCAAACAAGTGCCTCACCGACAGTTCATAAGACTGTTTCAGGCCTGGGATGGTGGTGGGGGGGTGATAAATAAAATGTTAAAGGAGTGCATTTTAATGCTGTGGGAGCACATACTGTGGGCACTCTGAGGCCTCGGAGGTAGGTGTCAATGCATGGTTTAGGTAAGGCAGCTACGAGGTGGAACAGGAGATACTAACTGCATGTGTTAGTATTTGATAGAATTTGCTTAACCAAAAGAAGTAAATTGATGTTAAATACCTTTCCTCAATTCTAAATGCCAATCTGGGTTTGTAAAGGATATGCTAATTTTTCATGTCCTTTCATAAATTTCTTAACAGTTATTTCTTCTTTCATTATTTTTTAAAGTTTTCATTATATATTTACAACAAATATCCTACATCCATGATTCTCTCCAGTCAAAAGTTCTTTGAGGTCAGGCACAGTGGCTCATGCCTGTAATCCCAGCACTTTGGGAGGCCGAGGCAGGTGGATCACTTGAGGTCAGGAGGTGGAGACCAGCCTGGCCAACAGGATGAAAGCCCATTACTACTAAAAATACAAAAATGGCCGGGTATAGTGGCACACACCTGTAATCCCAGCACTTTGGGAGGCTGAGGCGGGCAGACTGCTTGAGGTCGGGAGTTTGAGACCAGCCTGGCCAACATGGCGAAAACCCATCTCGACAAAAAATACAAGAAATTAGCCAGGCATGGTGGTGCATGTCTGTAATCCCAGCTAATTGGGAGGCTGAGGCAGGAGAATCGTTTTGGCCCATGAGGCGGAGGTTGCAGTGAGTCAATATCACACCACTGCACTCCAGCCTGGGCAACAGAGCAAGACTCCATCTCAAAAACAAAATAGTTGAGATAACGCCCTTGGCCATGGCCAGAGAATGGAATCATCTGACTCACCCATCCTGCAAACTGTCCTGCAGATAGCACAGGTTTTAAACTAGCTGTGAAACCTGCCCGTGACCTTGTTGGCCTTGGCCACGTTCATCCACATGGATATATGGTCCTTGGCACTGATGACGCAGTTGCTGGTGGAGCATTTCTGCCGCATGCACAGGTCCACGAACTTGCTGGCATCTTTCTGCATGTCAAGACCGTGCCTGCTGCTACCACACTGCACATGAGCCTAATTTTTTTTTACAAAAAAAAAATTTTACAAAAAATTTTTTACAAAAAATTATTATATATTATTATATATAATTATGTAATAATTACATAATTTTATTACATAATTATATATAATAATATATAATATTACATAATTATATATAATAATATATATAGCATCTACAGGATCTCTCGATGTTGCCTAGGTGGGTCTTGAACTCCTGGCCTCAAGCAGTTCCCCTGCCTGGGCCTCCCAAAGTGCTGGCTGGAATTACAGGTGAGAGCCCCCATGCCCAGCCTCACCAACTATTTCTAAATTTTCTCACTGGAACTTTACTGTCATCTCTACCACCTGAATTTCTGTGTGCCCTTCCTAGTTTATTTGGAGGGTGAGGTGGGTCTTGCTCTGTCGCCCAGGCTGGAGTACAAAGGTGCAGTCCTAGCTCACTGCAGCTTCAAACTCCTGGGCTCAAGTGATCCTCCCACCTTAGCCTCCCAAAGCGCTGGGACTGCAGGTGTCAGCCCCAGTGCCTGGCCCCTTCTTGTCTTCCAGCTGCATCTACACTGGAGAGGGAGTAAGCACCTCACAGAGGAGGGGCCCTAGGAAAGAGGCTCCGTGGGCATATTAAGGGCACAAGGGACTCACCTGTCTCTCACTGAGCAGCCTCTGTGGCACTTCCTGGGTGAACATAGCTGGGAATGTATTTCTACACCCTTGGTTTGAAAGTGGAATGCCCGAACCGGGTGCGGAGGCTCACGCCTGTAATCCCAGCACTTTGGGAGGCCGAGGCGGACAGATCATTTGAGGAGTTCAAGACCATCCTGGCCAACATGGTGAGACCCCGTCCCTACTAAAAATACAAAAATAAGCTGGGCATGGTGGCAGGTGCCTGTAATCCCAGCTACTTGGGAGGCTGAGGCAGGAGAATCGCTTGAACCCGGGAGGCGGAGGTTGCAGTGAACCGAGATTGCGCCACTGCACTCCAGCTTGGGCAACAGAGCGAAGACTCTGTTTCAAGAAAAATAAATGAATAAAAATGAAAGTGGGCTGGGCACGGTGGCTCTGGCCTGTTATCCCAGCCCTTTGGGAGGCCGAGGTGGGCAGATCACCTGAGGTCAGGAGTTCGAGACCAGCCTGACCAACATGGAGAAACCCAGTCTCTACTAAAAATACAAAATTAGCTGGGCCTGGTGGCGCATGCCTGTAATCCCAGCTACTCGGGAGGCTTGAGGCGGGAGAATCACTTGAACCTGGGTGGTGGAGGTTGCAGTGAGCTGAGATCGCGCCACTGCACTCCAGCCTGAGCAACAAGAGCAAAACTCCGTCTCAAAAAAAAAAAAAAAAAAAAACAGACAGTGGCATGCTCTGGGTGTGTGAAGTCAGCACGCCTCAGAGGAAGTTGTACCGCCAGACATAAGTCCCAAACGCTGCTGTGCCGAGGACCCACAAGTCTACTTTTGAGCCCAGCTGTATAAAATGAACAGCGGCTTCCAAAAGCCGAACTTCTAACAAGAAAAGGATGTGAGAACCTTTCTGCTGCTTGGCTTCTGTTCTAAAAAAAACTTACAGGAAAACTCAGGGAGCTAGTCAATAGCTAACACGACGGCTTTTCGAAGCTCAGCACATCCTTGCTGCATACCACAATGGAGCGCCACTGTTTATAAAGGCCCCAGAACAAGTCCAAGTGAGCTGAGAGAGGACACGGATTCCTAAATGCAAAACTCAACTACGATGCGCTTTTAACTCGTTTTTGCAAGGCACTTTAAAGAATCTTGTTATCTATTAATAGATATTGGGATGATTTAAACGAAGCCACAGTTATACTTCAATTCCCTACTAAATCAAACATTTTTAATTGCTTATTAATATGTAATAAACCAAAGAAATATGATTACCTCAGCCCACGTTATTCCTGTTTGATTGAGGACTAAAACCTTCAGTGCAGAAAACGTTCCAGTTAATGCTGAACCGGAGGGAAATTTTAGTTTATTTTCACTGTGTAGAAAAAGAAGATACAATATACTTATTTCTATACAGTAAACCCAACTGAAATAGTCATTGAAAGCAACAACTTGGGTTTTAATCTAAGGGGTTTGATTTGTTTCAATCTTAAAATGGAAATCACTTTTTTAATGATTCAAGTGAATCAAGACTACCTAATTTTTAACATTTACCATATACAACTTTTTGGGATCAGCTGTGTAAAGATGCTTTCACAGGATTAGGGCAGCCGTATGCGGCTGCAGGCTTCCTAAACCCGAAACTCAGGCGTTTGCAAGGTGAGCTTCCAGCTTCACGAGACATGGCTCTGGATAGTGCAAAGCAAGGTCCCGTTCTCCAGACTCTTACTGATACACTGAATCGTGGGCTAGAATTTTGCTTCTCTAAACATAGAGTCTGCCCTTTGGCTAGGAGGATGGATGAAATTATGACTAGGAGGATGGATGAAATTATTGCCCCTTAAATTCTTTCTCAAAACTCTATTCAATCCTGACAGTCCCTCTGAAAGAAGATATATTAAAAAAAACAAGCCCATATTTCCGAAGATGAGACACCATGGGTTGAGTTACCCCTATTTGCTGTATTTGGGAGCACAACTCATTCAGGCCTGTCTACCTGCTATACTGTACACTCACCTGTCTATGCAAAAATGGTTTAAGAATGAAAGGGGAAACCTGGGCCGGGCGTGGTAGCTCACGCCTATAATCCCAGCACTTTGGGAGGCCAAGGCAGATGGATCACCTGAGGTCAGGAGTTCAAGACTAGCCTGGTCAACATGATGAAACCCTGTCTCTACCAAAAATACAAAACTTAGCCGGGCATGGTGGCAGGTGCCTCTAGTCCCAGCTACTTGGGAGGCTGAGGAAGGAGAATCACTTGAACCTGGGAGGCGAAGGTTGCAGTGAGCCGAGATCCTACCACCGCACTACAGCCTGGGCAACAAAAAAAAAAAAAGGAGGAAGCCTGGCTAAACCCTTGGAAAGTTAGGTTCTGAGATTAAAACAAATCAAATACTCAGGAAGGCCTGGAAAACTGTGACGTTAGTAAAATAGTTAGATTAATGAAAAATCCTTATCAAAACAGAATTAAACAGTATCCCAATGAAATTACTCATTCCTACAGCAATTAAACGCTAGAAGTTTTCAAATTTCAAATAAACAAGCACTTTTAATATCACCTCTCCTCTCCTACTCCACAATTAAATATCACCTCCCCCAACCTTCCATCTTTATGGTCAGGCTAAAAAGAAATAAGATCTTGCAGTTCAATGTCAATCTAACTCATCCCCCACCTGATAAAAGTTAAAACACACTCCTTATTCATGAATCACCTCATGTGACCATTTGCAAGGCTATAATAATCAATGTGCCCTTAAAGATTAAAGTGTCCTTAAAGAGGCGGGACGTGGTGGCTCACACCTGTAATTCCAGCACTTTGGGAGGCCGAGGCAGGTGGAAAACCTGAGGTCAGGAGTTCAAGATCAGCCTGGCCAACATGGCGAAACCCTGCTTCTACTAAAAATACAAAAAGTAGCCGGCAGTGGTGGTGGGCACCCATAGTCCCAGCTACTCAGGAGGCTGAAGTAGGAGAATCGCTTGAACCCAGGAAGGGCAGGTTGCAGTGAGCCGAGATTGCACCATTGCACTCCAGCCTGGGCAACAAGAGTGAGACTCCATCTCAAAAATACATGTCTGCAGCTCCATTTTACAGGCTGCTTGTGTTCGAAAGGAAAATAATTTGGGGCTGCTCTTCATTAAAAGGAAAACCTTACTGAGGACTTCTATACCCTCACTATCAGCCTGAGTAATTTCTTCTTAACTCCTGTATCATCAGGTGGCAGCCTTAATCTTTCTGCCTCAGAGATGCTGTGAGGGAGCAAGGAGATGACTTTTATTGTTCATGAAAATTCGGCAACCAAGAGTTCATACCTGAGATTAAGGACTTCCAGGTGTCTGAGCTGATCAGCAATGTGGATCACTTCATCCCATGATGACAACAGGTTTTTTGACAAATCTACCCTTCTAATATCTAAAAGCACACGTTAAGAAACAGTAATTTCAAAAGATTCACAAAAGACATAAAAGTAGTTACTCTTATTTCCTCAGCATGAGTGCTTTAACCTTTCATTTTATACCCTCTAGTTAACTTGAAATTTTTTCAGGAGTACATAATACTTTTAAGTTATCCAAAACTTCACTGAGAAACTAAAAAGTTCATTATCCAGCCGGGCGCGATGGCTCACGCCTGTAATCCCAGCACTTTGGGATGCCAAGGTGGGGGGATCACTTGAGGTCAGGAGTTCAAGACCAGCCTGGCCCACATGGCAAAACCCTGTCTCTACTAAAAATACAGAAATTAACCAGGTATGGTGGCATGTGATTGTAATTCCAGCTACTCAGGAGGTTGAGGCACGAGAATCTCTAGAGCCGGGGAGGCGAGGTTGCAGGGAGTGGAGATTGCACCACTGTACTCCAGCCTGGATGACAGAGTGAGACTGTCTCAAAAAACTAAAAATAAATTAAAAGTTCATTGTTATATACTCAAAACTTGAGACAAACATCTACAATCAAATGAAAAAGAACCAAATGTCATAACATTAAACCATCCTAGCACTATCCAACAAAAGGAGACGGGAAAAGCAGTGAGGGTAACTTTGATTTCTTAAGCACCTAAGGTATACATACAAGCCTCACCCCGGCACATGACCTTCTGTGGGGCATCATTACCATAGGAATCTCCAGATAAATAGCATCTGCAGGGGAGATAAGAGGGGTCAACTTGGGACACATGTTCAAAAGTGCAGTTATAATAGTATCACTCCAACTGCCCCTGATACAGGGGTTCAGAGAGGATAACACAGTGGGACTGCAAAAGCAAAGCTGATGGGCAACACAAGCGCAGGTGAGGCGCTAGGTGCAGGTGCAGCGCCATCAGGAAGGGGCACAGCTTAGCCAGGTCCCCACAGAGAAAAAGGAGCTTGCAGCAGGACCGGGCCAGCTAGTGGAGGAGCCTACACTCTCATCTAATATGTGTATGTGTGGAAATCATTCAATGTACTCGTCTATTCTGCAAGTAATTATTTAGGGCCAGGAGCATCACAGTGGCAAAGCAGAGTCTCATCAGGGAGAGATGATCGCGACACAGGGGCCTCTACAGTGTGTCACAGGCAGGCCTGTCTGTGCTCAGGGACAGAGCAGGGCACACAGGAAAGGTGTGTGGCTGTTCTATATGCAGTGCTCAGGGAAGACCACCTCCTCCAACAAGAGGGCATCTGAGCAGAGAGCTGAGGGAAATGGGGGGATGCCATCTGGGAGAGGAGCACGCAGCGAAGGAGTGACGAGCAAAGGCCCTGGGATGGGAACGAGCTCAGCCTATGACCAGGACGGCCGGCGCCTGTGTGACTGGAGCAGATGGGCTTGGGGGTACTAGAAACGAGGTCACAAGGGACAAGGGGCCAGGCCACACATCACAAAGGCCTTGCAGGCCACTTCAAAGTCTTTGCTAGTCTTTGCTTGAAACGGGAGATACTGGAGGCTTTGGAACAGCGACAGATGACCTGGGTCTTTTAAAAATCACTCTGCTTTGACTTTGATCTATACTATGTCCAAAAAAAAAAAAGGAAAAGTCACTGTGCTGCTGGGTTGAACACAATTGCAGGAAACAAAGGAGGGCCAGGAGTCTCCCGGAGGCCAGAGCAGACCAGCAGCATGAGAGGGCAGACCACGGCAGAGGGGGCGTCTGACTCTGGACTGGGGCTCACAGGATTGCCAGTGGATTTAGGTATGAGGCATGGGAGACAGGGAGTGTCAAGGACAACTCCAAGATCTGTGGCCTTTGCAACTGGAACTGTCATTTACTAAGAGGGGAAGACTACAGGATGGGCAGGCGTGAGGGGTCTTAGTTTTGGACATGCTAAATCTATGATGGCTATGAGACATCCAGACAGAGGTATCAAAGCAGCGGCTGGAGAGACAGATGCCAAAGAGGGCAGGCCGTGGAGGAGTGCCAGCCACACCCCAGAAGGTCTCTCAAGAAGCCAGGGCTCCCAAATCTGAGCCTCGGGGTACACCCAACACCCTGCAACCAGAGAAAGGTCCCATAGAAGTGACTGAGGAGGACTGGCCAGCAACAGAAGAGCTCTAAGATCCAGGCCAGGCACGGTGGCTCACGCCTGTAATCCCAGCACTCTGAGAGGCCAAAGTGGGCAGATCACCTGAGGTCAGGAGTTCAAGACCAGTCTGGCCAACATGGTGAAACCCTGTCTCTACTAAAGATACAAAAATTGGGCCGGGAACTGTGACTCGTGCCTGTAATCCCAGCACTTTGGGAGGCTGAGGCGGGTGGATCACCTGAGGTCGGGAGTTCGAGACCAGCCTGACCAACACGGAGAAACCCCGTCTCTACTAAAAATACAAAATTAGCCGGGCGTGGTGGCGCATGTCTGTAATCCCAGCTACTCTGGAAGCTGAGGCAGGAGAATCGTTTGAACCCAGGAGGCGGAGGTAGTGGTGAGCTAAGATCGTGCCATTGCATTCCAGCCTGGGCAACAAGAGCAAAACTCTGTCTCAAAAGAAGAGAAAAAAAAAAAATCAGCCAAGCGTGGTGGCACGCACCTGTGGTCCCAGCTACACAGGGGGCTGAGGCAGGAGAATCGCTTGAACCTGAGTGCCAGAAGGTTGCGGTGAGCCAAGATCGCGCCACTGCACTCCAGCCTGGGTGAAAGAGTGAGACTCCATCTCAAAAAAAAAAAAAAGAGCTCTAAGATCCAGTAATAACAACAGCAGCAGGGACAGCCACCACCCTCACTGCTGCCGCCACTGCTAACCAGACCCAGGCGCTATGCTGATTTCTGGGTTGTTTTCCTTTTTCACAGCAGAAAAAACAGCGGCACAGCAGTCAGAGAGCTGTGTCATTGTGTGCAAATGAACAAGTGGGAAATTACACCCAAGTCAGCCTCGATTCAAAATCCATTTCATTGCACCCCATAATGCAACAGGGGTCATCAAACGTACATAAAACGTGGAGAAAGCTTCTTTACAAAAACAGTGGCATCACTCCAAAGCATTGGTTAGAAAGGAAATAATTTTAGGCAGGAACCAATTAGGAAGCTCTGCAAGAAGGTCAGGAACAAGGGAAGGATGGCAGAGAAGATGCGAAGAAAGGGATGACTCCAAACCCGGTCGCCAGCTACCCATGCCCAAATCCTGCCAGCTGCCTGGAGCTAACAATGGGGTCTACCCTCGTAAACAGTTGCATTTCAACTGGTAATATGAGTACCTACAGGATAGCCTTGATTTTGCTGTGGCTGTCGCATCAAATGGAAGGGAAAAAAGTCAGGCTGCCGAAAATTCCAGACCCGGCAAACACCCTCCAGGTCCCCTCGGGCTCCTCCTCCACCCTTGGGGACACACCTGCAAGATGGCTTCTGTAAACTGTTCCTCCGCTCCTCATCCTCAGCCTCCCCTTGGCTGCCCTAGCTTCCTGACACCACCTTACGCAGGCTCATGCAAGGGGTGCTTTCCAGGCCTCTGGGTGACACTTTGGCCACCTGGTGTTTCCATTAACCCTGCTAAATCGGCTGTTAGGCTGCTGAGGAAGGGTTTAAGTCCAATCACGCTTCCCTCATTGCTGTTTCCCATTATGTAGCCTAGAGTTGTCATTGTCTCTAAGGTCTGTACAGAGCATACAGACCACCTACATCCTGAAATCAACCACAAACAACAGCTCTCAATATGTGGTCACCCCTCCCACACACACTGTCCCCGTGAACGCACAGGTCAGGCCCCTGGGCACAGATTCTCCTCCGCAGGTCATGAGGGAGGAGGCGGCTCATCCCCTCCCCTGGAAGTGCCCTGAGATTTGACATACCCAGGTCTGCAGCGCTCCCACTGCCTTGAGTTCTGGTCAAGTAAATAACCTCAAAGACAGACCAACTCAAAACAGGATGACTGGATTAAGCACCCAAAGCAATACTTCCAACTTCTGGCGAGAATTCAATTGGGACCTGCAAGACATTCATCACTGTATCTGCAAACACCAACGGTGACTGGATTATCTCATGAAACCTCATTTCTTCGTGTCCTGGGGGACATTTTTCTCCAGAAAAGTGCAGTATAAACAAACAACATGCTGATTCTCCAGGACACCGTTGACAGCTCTGAGCAACCCAAGAGCCAGCACTCCCAAACCCATCTACTGCCACATCTGTCCTTTTTTTTGAGACAGAGTCTTGCTCTTGTCACCCAGGCTGGAGTGCAATGGCGCGATCTCGGCTCACTGCAACCTCCGCCTCCCAGGTTCAAGCGATTCTCCTGCCTCAGCTTCCCAAGTAGCTGGGATAACAGGCACGCACCACCATGCCAGGCTAATTTTTGTACTTTTAGTAGAGATGGGGTTTCACCACGTTGATCAGGCTGTTCTCTAACTCCCGACCTTAGGTGATCCACCCGCCTTGGCCTCCCAAAGTGCTGGAATTACAGGCATGAGCCACCACACCTGGTCCCTCACCCCCTCTTTTTTTTTTTTTTTTTTTTTGAGATGGCGTCCCGCTCTGTCACCCAGGCTAGAGTACAGTGGTGTGATCTCGGCTCACTGCAATCTCTGCCTCCCAGGTTCAAGTGATTCTCCTGCCTCAGCCTCCTCCTGAGTAGCTGGGATTACAGGCACCCGTAATTAACCATACCCGGTTAATTTTTTGTATTTTTAGTACAGACAGGGTTTCATCATGTTGGCCAGGCTGGTCTTGAACTCCTGACCTCAGGTGATCCATCCGCCTTGGCCTCCCAAAGTGCTGGGATTACAGGCATGAGCTACTGCACATGGCCCGATGACCAATCTTCTGAAATAGTTTAGGAATAGACCAGGCAGAATGCAGAATGCTCTGACACTTCTGTGGCACTGGCTCCTTAGCAAACTCTTTTCTGCATCCACTCCATTCCCCTTACTCCAGCTGCCTAGCTCTGAAAATGACCACATATTTGCAGCACGCTGGGGTCAATGGAGGAGGCTGCTCAGGGGCAGACAGTGGATGTTGTAGCTACCACAGGTCCCAACAGACCCCCAGGCTGTTTCCCCTAAGGGAACTGAAACTGCAGACACGTAGATGGAGAGAGTTCTGATTTAATTTCCTTCATTGCACCGTCCGGGCATTTTGCCAAAGAGAGCTACTTCACCTGGCATCTCTGCACTCAGGAAAAAACTGATCAAAACTGATACTTTTTGCAAAAGTTATTATGTACAGATCAAATAGACTTAATGAATTGGGGAAAGACCTTCTAAAGTTAGAGAAAATCTATTTGGTTACCATGGGAAATTCTTCTTTTTGTTGAGACGGAGTCTCGCTCTGTTACCCAGGCTGGAGTACAATGGCGTGACCTCAGCTCACTGCCACCTCCGCCTCCTGGGTTCAAGCGATTCTCCTGCCTCAGCCTCCCAAGTAGCTGGGACTACAGGCACCCGCCACAATGCCTGGCTAATTTTTTTGTATTTTTCGTAGAGACAGGGTTTCACTGTGTTAGCCAGGATGGTCTCGATCTCCTGACCTCGCGATCTGCCTCTCTTGGCCTCCCAAAGTGCTGGGATTACAGGCGTGAGCCACCACGCCCAGCCGAGAAACTTCTTAATAGAAACGGGGTCTAGCTGTCATCTAGGCTGAAGTATAGTGCATGACAGGCTCCTCACAGCCTTGAACTCCTGAGCTCAAGCAGTCCTCCCACCTCAGCCTCCTGAGTAGCTGAGATGACAGGCACATGCCACTACACTCTGTTTTGTTTTGTTTAATTTTTTATAGAGACAAGGTCTCGCAATGTTCCCAAGGCTGGTCTCAAACTCCTGGACTCAAGCAGTCCTCCAGTCTCAGCCTCCCAAAGTGTTGAGATTACCGGCATGAGCCACCATGCCCATCCTCGAAATTTTCTTTTAACTCACCTCCAACATTTTTGCTTACGGGCAAAAAAGCAATATATGACAAAAATAACACTAATAAGAGGAGGTAGAGAAAAGAGATTCCAAACTTCATAAAGAGCCTCTTTTGGAGTATTATAACAAAGTGCATTCAGCTGCATGAAACCAGAACCAGAGTCTTTCCCACTAAAAATAACTGCATGAGACCAGGTGTGTGGCTCACGCCTATAATCTCAGCACTTTGGGAGGCCGAGGCGGGCGAATCACCTGAGGTCAGGAGTTCGTGACCAGCCTCGCCAATGTGGAGAAACCCCATCTCTACTAAAAATACAAAAATTAGCCAGATGTGGTAGCAGGCACCTGTAATTCCAGCTACTCGGGAGGCTGGGGCAGAGGAATCGCTTGATCCTGGGAGGCAGAAGTTACAGTGAGCTGAGATCGCGCCACAGCACTCCAGCCTGGGCAACACAGCAAGGTTCCATCTCAAAAAAAAAAAAAGAAATGCATGAGAAAACAGACCAGGGGTGAAGCAGATTCGTCTTGGGTTCCCGGTACACTGTCAGCGGCCCAGGTTCCCTCTCCTCTGCTCTCCCAATCTGTACCAGATGGCTTTCTTCACACTTGCAAGACAGCTGCCAAAGCCCTGGGCATTCCATCCGCTCAAGGCAGGGGGAAGGGGAAAAGCAACAGGCAAAAGGCAGAGGCCAACCAAGTGTGCCCCCTTTCTTTCTTGAGACGAAGTCTTGCTCTGTCGTCAGGCTGAGTGCACTGGCGCGATCTCAGCTCGCTGCAACCTCCGCCTACTGGGTTCAAGCAATTCTCCTGCCTCAGCCTTCTGAGTGGCTGGGACTACAGGCACATGCCACCATACCCGGCTAATTTTTGTATTTTTAGTAGAGATGGGTTTCACCATCTTGGCCAGGATGGTCTTGATCTCCTGACCTCGTGATCCACCTGCCTCAGCTTCCCAAAGTGCTAGGATTACAGGCGTGAGCCACTGCACCCTGCCAAGTGTGCCTCCTTTCAAGGAGCCCGGTCTAGAAACTTCCACCTCAACTGGGGGAAGTCATGCTGGCAAACTTGCAAGCAAAGGCGTCTGGGAAGGTAAATAATTTATCTGGGCCCCAACTACACCAAGCAAAACTGAACTGCATTAGGAAGGAAGTTGTGAAGAATAGACAATGGGTAGGCAATTAGCAGTCTCTGGCACAGGCATCAAATCCAAAGTCAGATTCCAGTAACAAGCTCTCAGTGAAAAGGATACTAGGACATGCTTCGGCAACTCCTCCTTTTTCACCAGCACAACTTACTGCACAGTTCCTCAGAGAAACTTCTTGCAACTTGCTCAGCTGACTGCATGAAAAACAGAGTTCACATGGATACATAAGCACGTATGCCATCCACTGGCCCTTTAAAAAATTAAACACATTTCAGACATATAAGAGGGTACCAAAAATAATATACAAATACCAGTAACTACCACTCAAATTAAGAAATAAAACATTACCAAAAAAAGAGCACTACAAATATTACAAAAGCAACTGAAGTCCTCTGGGACCCTCTCCAAACATGATTCTCCCTCTACTCCCCAGGGGTAACCTTTTTTTTTTTATTATTTTATTTTGAGCTAGAGTCTCACTGTGTTGCCCAGGCTGGAGTGCAGTGGCACTATCTAGGCTCACTGCAGCCTCCATCTCCCAGGTTCAGGTGATTCTCCTGCCTCAGCCTCCTGAGTAGCTGGGATTACATGCGTTTGCTACCACACCCGGCTAATTTTTGCGTTTTTAGTAGAGACAGGGTTTCACCATGTTGGCCAGACTGGTCTCGAACTCCTGACCTCAAGTGATCCACCCACCTCGGCCTCCCAAAGTGCTAGGATTACAGGTGTGAGCCACCGCGCCCAGCCCTCCCCAGGGGTAACCTTATACTTATACTACATTTGGTGTTTATTTAATTCTTAAGCATTTCTTAATATTTTTACCATGTATTTCCATATCCCTAAACAAATACAGCATTTTTTAATATTCTGAAACTTGATATAAATGGTATTCTACTCTGCAGAGCCTTCTGCAGCTGACTTCTTCCTCAACAGTCTATTGTTCAGTGGTGAGATTTCACTACAGTGACACATGGAGCTCCAGGACATTCATCTTCACACCTGATAGTGTTTGTTATATGAACAGACCACAAGGAATGTAGATACTCTTCTGCTGACATTTAGATTGTTCCCAACCATGCAGAAGTACACGCTATGGAGTGCTTCTTGCACTCACATGTAAAAGCCTCCCTAAAGGACTTCCTAGAAAGCATGCCCAGCTCCAGCATGACCAGATACTTCTGGCAGCCATCTGTTAAGTGTAGAGAATCTTGTGTTTTCTATTCATGAAAAGAATCTGCATATATAATGTCTAAGAACACAGAATCTGGAACCAGACCACCTGGGTTCAAATCCCGATTCCACCATCTCCTTTGGCTTTGGAGAAGTGAATTAGCACCAGACCACCTGGGTTCAAATCCCGATTCCACCATCACCTTTGGCTTTGGAGAAGTGAATCAGCACCTCTGTGCCTCAGACTTCACATCTCTAAAAGGCCACGGTATATGCACAAGTTCACAGCAGCCTTATTCCTGGTAGTCAAGAGGTGGAAGAACCCAAGTATCCATCAACAAATGAAGGGATAAACAAAACGTGGCACGCATATACAATGCAATACTGTGCAAACTTAAAACAAAAAAAGAAGGAAATTCTGACATATGCCACAATGTGGATGAACCTTGAGTGCGTTATGCTAGGTGAAATAAGCCAGTCACAAAAGAACAAATACGTGGCCGGGCGCGGTGGCTCACGCCTGTAATCCTAGCACTTTGGGAGGTCAAGGTGGATGGGTCACCTGGGGTCAGGAGTTCAAGACTAGCCTGGCCAACATGGTGAAACACCGTCTCTACTAAAAAAAACAAACAAACAAAAAAAACCAAAAATTAGCCTGGCATAGTGGCGGGCACCTGTAATCCTGGCTACTCAGGAGGCTGAGACAGGAGAATCGCTTGAACCTGGGAGGGTGGAGGTTGCAGTGAGCCAAGATCACACCATTGCGCTCCAGCCTGGGCAACAAGAGCAAAACTCTGTCTCAAAAAAAAAAAAAACAAAAAAACAAAAACAAACAAAAAAAAAAAACCAAAAAAACAAAAAAAAAAAAGGAAAGAAAACCTAGGGTACAAAAGGCAGCAGCAGAATTCAAGGGTAGAGGGTCCCAAACTTTCTCAGACCACAGGGTCCTTAGGGTTTCAGTAATTTTTTTCATGGTACTTAGGCCAAAATAAATACCTCACAGTTCCAATTAAGTATGTAGTTAGGGCCAAACAACTTAATCATTACTTATGTCCTGTTAACTCAGTGTCTGCTGGGCACTGCCCAACTTCACAAACCCTGCAATCAGACTGGACACCACCAACTCCATTTCCAGTTCCACACTGATTTAAGAGATACTTGCTTTTTAATAAAACAAATATTTCTGTTGATGCATGATAAATGTACATAAATACTTGTGTTCTATCGCAGCAATCGCCCAAAAGCCAGCTTTGTAGGCTTATGACATCATTGAAAAGAACAACAGGAATCTCAGAAACAGCCAACTACTTCAAACTGTAGTTTGCACTGTGTCCGACAGATGTCACTCCTTCCCCCTAACATTTAAAATAGCCTGCCTTGCCAGGACAACTTGGCACTAAGGGTGAGGACTCAGATCTCAATCCAAGCACCACTCTAGAGCCAAAGCCATCTCCAAGAGAAACCATACATAACAGATTTTTAAATTTGCTTTTGATTCCTTTATTGAGTCTTTTCTTAGTGGTACGATCTCAAAGCTGGTCAGCTGGATTTTATTGAGGAGATAAGACAGTGGCTTAAAGTAGAGGTTTCAACTCCTAAAAAAAACTCCTAAAGCTACCATTAATTGCAGGATCTCATTTGTTATTCACAACAGCACTTATATCTTAGGTTTTATGTTGTAATTGAGGAAACTGAGGCTTAGAAACAGGAAGTAGCTATCTCTAACTTCTGTCAGAGCCAAAAGTGACTTAGCTGGCGTCTGAACCCAGCCTAACTCCAACACTGGCTGCATTCCACCAAGCTGTCTCATAATTTCTGAACTGACTAATCTCTAGCCAACATACGAGATTGCTCCAGAATCTCTAAAATTTTACCTTTTCAATCAAGAAAGACACTAGCTAATGATTAAATTCAATGATACTCAAGTAGTAGGGTCATTTACAGAAAAATTCATGAGTTACATAGTTGTTCATAAACTAGGGGACAAAAATCCGTTTGCAATTTGTTAATATTCTTAGAGCCCACAATATTCTCTGAAAGAGATTAACCAATAAAAATTTAAAAAATGCTTCTTTTGGGTAAGAGATATTTAAATATTTGAGTTTTTTGTTCATTTGTCTGTCATTTGAGACAAAGTCTCACTATGTCACCCAGGCTGGAGTGCAGTGGTGCAATCATGGCTCACTGCAGCCTTGACCTCCTGGGTTCAGGTGATCGTCCCACCTCAGCTTTCCAAATAGCTGGGACTACAGGCACGCACCACTACACCCAGCTAATTTTTGTATTTATTTATTTATTTTTTGTAGAGACAGGGTTTTGCCATGTTGCCCAAGCTATTTATATTTTAAATGGGAACAAAGTAAAGAACTCTAACCCCTATGAAGCATGTAGTTCTTTAAATCCAAGTAAATCAGTAGGGTAAACAGTAAAAACTGTTCATGATAGTTATGTCTTTTTTTTTTTTTTTTTTTTTTTGAGACAGAGTCTCATTCTGCCACCCAGGCTGGAGTGCAGCTGCATGATCTCGGTTCACTGCAACGTCCACCTCCCAGGCTCAAGCGATTCTCCTGCCTCAGCCTCCCAAGCAGCTGGAATTACAGGCACATACCACCACATCTGGCTAATTGTTTGTATTTTTAGTAGAGACAGGGTTTCACCATGTTGGCCAGGCTAGTCTCAAATTCCTGGCCTTAAGAGGTGGATGTGAATCCGCCTGCCTCGGCCTCCAAAAGTACTAAGATTACAAGCATGAGCCACCGCACTCAGCCCGTTTATGATACTTATATCCAAGTGGTGGCATTAGTCATACTTTTTTGTTCAATTTGTAATTGCTAAATTCTCAACAATCAAGGTATTTTGTTTTATAAAGAACAGTCCATTTGTTCCTTTTTCTAAAACTCTTGATTTATTCTGAGTTTTTTTTTTTAATGGGGGCCATGTATGCTAAAGAGTAGATGTACCAAGAAATGTATTTATTTTCAATATTGTTCCCATGTGCACTTTTATTAATAACAACAATAACAAAAGATAGTAAAGAAATTTACTTTGGACAGAACTATAGCTTAATTCTTTTAGAGACTGAAAGAGAATATATTGCAGGCTTCCAAGTGGCCACAAATTGATTCTCACAGTGGCCACCAGGGGTCCTTACCCAGCTGCCTCGTCCAAGTCACTCACCACAGTAGTAAGCTGCAAGGCCTGGCCAGTTCTTGTGCAGCCATGACGGGTTTTGTGTAAATATTAACTTTCTCTCTCTTTGATTCAAGCAGTTCACTGGAATGACTAGTAAGCCTCCTTGTGCAAAGTCACAACATACAGTTTCAGAGAAAAGAGAACGTTCTCATGCAGCAGTTTTAAAGTGCATTATTTTAAGGCCGGGTGCAGTGACTCACGCCTGTAATCCCAGTGCTTTGGGAAGCCAAGGATTGCTTGAGCCCAAGAGTTCAAGACCAGCCTGGGCAACATAGCAAGATCCTGTCTGTATAAAAACAAAAATACAATACAATACAATAAAATGCATTATTTAGAGCCCATATCCCAAAACTGTGATTCAGCAGAGCTGGGATGGGACCAAAGATGCGGCATGTTTCACAGCTCCCTGGGTGATGAAGATGTGTGGCCAGAGGTGGGAACTACTCCCTACTATTAATAGATGGCACCAGCACCCTCTGTGGCATAGGGAACAATTCAGACTGCTGTTTCCATTCCCAACTTACCATCACCATGAAATAGAAAAGAACCCAAACGTCAGCCTTAGTTACTTAGTCAACACGAGATAATATGATGTGAATATTAATGATGGGCCAATAAATGTTTCAATTGCAAACTGGATAAATCTACCAATCCTGTGCTAACATAAGAATTTTAATTTCCCTAAATAATCCTTGGATTCCTCAAATTTTTATTTAGTTTCTGTGGAACCATAAACCAATTTAGAAGCAAATTCGTGAGCGTCCATGTAGAGTCATGGGTATTTAAATACTGAACCTTAATAAAACCATAAAAGTCAGCTCTGCCATTAAAAACTCCACTTACGGCCGGGCGCAGTGGCTCAAGCCTGTAATCCCAGCACTTTGGGAGGCCAAGACGGGCGGATCTCGAGGACAGGAGATCGAGACCATCCTGGCTAACACAGTGAAACCCCGTCTCTACTAAAAAATACAAAAAACTAGCAGGGCGAGGTGGCGGGCGCCTGTAGTCCCAGCTACTCAGGAGGCTGAGGCAGGAGAATGGCGTAAACCCGGGAGGCAGAGCTTGCAGTGAGCTAAGATCCGGCCACCGCACTCCAGACTGGGCGACAGAGCGAGACTCCGTCTCTAAAAAAAAAAAAAAAAAACTCCACTTACCTTTGCTGTTTCATAAGAGAGTCAAAACCAACAGTCTCCACAGGTTTATTTCCAAGTGTAACAATTTGTTCTTTTCTATCTTCCTCTGGTCCATCTTCTAACACATAGCGGTTCTTAATTGCAGTAAGAAAGTCTGTTCCAAAATTTACCTTGTTCGGACGAATAAAGGATCCTCCTGTTGGGTGCCTGGTAAGGAACAGTGAATGAAACATAAATGCAATGTTCTGAAGGTCTCCAAAAATTTATATATGCTAAAAAATCAAAATTAGCATAAAAGAGAATATCACATACTAAATAACATATAATCAGTATGATTGACCATAAAGGGTTATGATTTCATGCAAGCATGTTAAATCCCTCTAGATAAACAAGTAATATGAAACTGATAATTCACACTAGAAAAAACAGAACTATTCAATCCATGGGAGTGGCCAGGCATGGTGGCTCACGACTGTAATCCCAGCACTTTGGGAGGCCAAGGCGGGTGGATCACCTGAGGTCAGGAGTTCAAGACCAGCCTGGCCAACATGGCGAAACCCTCATCTCTACTAAAAATACAAAAATTAGCTTGGCATGGTGGTGCACACCTGTAGTCCCAGCTACTAGGGAGGCTAAGGCAGGAGAATTGTTTGAACCCGGGAAGTGGAGGTTGCAGTGAGCCAAGATCATGCCACTGCACTCCAGCCTGGGTGACAGAGCGAGACTCTATCTAAAAGATAAAAAATAAAAATTATAGGTGGATTATATACAAAATCATTTATTTATTTATTTATTTATTTATTTATTTATTTATTTATGTATTTATTTAGGTAACAGAGCGAGACTTTGTCACTTAAAAAAAAAGAAGAAGAAACAGGGAACTCTATAAATTGCTCAAAATTGTATTATAAACACTGTTTCAGGCCAGGCGCAGTGGCTCACAACTGTAATCCCAGCACGCCGAGGCAGGCGAGTCACAAGGTCAGGAGACTGAGACCATCCTGGCTAACAAGGTGAAACCCCATCTCTACTAAAAAATACAAAAAATTAGTCAGGCATGGTGGCAGGTGCCTGTAGACCCAGCTGCTCAGGAGGCTGAGGCAGGAGAATGGTGTGAACCTGGGAGGCAGAGCTTGCAATGAGCCGAGATTGCACCACTGCACTCTAGCCTGGGCGACAGAGTGAGACTCCGTCTCAAAAAAAAAACAAAACAAACAAACAAAAAAAACCAAACACTATTTCAGCTTACGATCATTACTTTTTTTTTGTTTTTTTTTTTTTTTTAGGGACAGAATCTCACTCTGTTGCCCAGACTGGAGTGCAAGGACGCAATCTTGACTCACTGCAACCTCTGCCTCCCGGGTTCAAGCAACTCTCCTGCCTCAGCCTCCCAATTAGCTGGGACTACAGGCATGTGCCAATATGCCCAGGCTAATTTTTGTATTTTTAGTAGCGACAGGGTTTCACCATGTTGGCCAGGCTGGTCTTGAACTTCTGACCTTAAGTGATCCTCCAGCCTTGACCTCCCAAAGTGCTGGGATTACAGGTGTGAGCCACCAGGCCTGACCTAGTTTTGTTTTTTATTTTATTTTTTTAAAGAAAGTGGGTCTCACTCTGTCACCTAGGCTAGAGTGCGGTGACGCAACCATAACTAACTGCAGCCTCCAATTTCCAGGGCTCAGGCAATGCTCCCTCTTCAGCCTCCCACGTAGCTAGGACTATAGGCATAAGCAACCATGTCCAGCTAACATTTTTTGTATTTTCTTTAAGAGACAACATCTCAGGCCGGGCGCAGTGGCTCACGCCTGTAATCCCAGCACTTTGGGAGGCCGAGGCGGGCGGATCATGAGGTCAGGAGATCGAGACCATCCTGGCTAACACGATGAAACCCCGTCTCTACTAAAAATGCAAAAATTAGCCCGGCGTGGTGGCGGGCGCCTGTAGTCCCAGCCACTCGGGAGGCTGAGGCAGGAGAATGGCATGAACCCGGGAGGCAGAGCTTGCAGCGAGCCGAGATCACGCCACTGCACTCCGGCCTGGGCAACAGAGGGAGACTCTTGTCTCAAAAAAAAAAAAAAAAAAAAAGAGACAACATCTCACTATGTTGCTCAGGAGACAACCATTAACTCTGGAAGAAAGAAATCAGACCTTCTTAGAAGTCACCATAATTTTGGCCAGGCACGGTGTCTCATGCCTATAATCCCAGTACTTTGGGAGGCTGAAAAGGGCAGATCACCTGAGGTCGAGAGTTCAAGACCAGCCTGACCAACAAGGAGAAACTCCATCTCTACTAAAAATACAAAATTAGCCAAGCGTGGTGGCACATGCCTATAATCCCAGCTACTCGAGAGGCTGAGGCAGGACAATCACTTGAACCCGGGAGGTGGAGGTTGCAATATGCCAAGATCACGTCATTGCACTCCAGCCTGGGCAACAAGAGCAAAACTCCATCTCAAAAAATAAAAATAAAAAAAGTCACCATAACTGAAAAGGATGAAAACTAGTATTTGTGATAAATTTTGTTAACATAGACATACATACAGTTTTTTCTAGGATGTGGGTTCACAGTGATGACCAGACTCTAAAAGGAACTTGTGATCCCAAAAAGTTAAAACCAATCCCCCACCTGGGAAGAAGTGGCCAGGAGGGAGTTAGAAACTTAGAGAGTGTGGGCCAGGTGCGGTGGCTCACCCCTATAATTCTAGCATTTTGGGAGGCTGAGGCGGGCAGATCACTTAAAGTCAGGAGTTTGAGACCACCCTGGTCAACATGGTGAAACCCTGTCTCTATTAAAAATACAAAAATTAGCCGGGTGTGGTTGCTGGTGACTGGAGTTTGGCTACTTGGAAGTATGAGGCAAGAGAATCACTTGAGCCGGGAGGTGAAGGTTGCAATGAGCCAAGATCACATCATTGCACTCTAGCCTGAGCAATAGATAGAAACTCGCGGAGGGGAGGGGAGGGGAAGGGAAACTCGGAGAGTGTGGTGTCCTGGAAGCCAATGAAGAAAGTCAACAACCATGTCCACTGCTAAAAACAGGTCAGGTAAGGTAACAGCTGAGGCCTGGCCACTGAATCCAGCAACATGAACATAACCTTTCCTACAAGCAGTCTGGCTGGGGCAATAGGGCAAAGCCCAGTGGGGGTGAGTTCCAAAGACTGGGAGGCGACTGAGCACAGCCTACCCTTGTCCTGAAGGGGCACAGGGGTCAAAGAAGGGAGACTGTTTAAGACAGGAGAAAATATCCACCTTGTATGTTGATGAAATTAATTCCGTGGAACAGGGGGAAGCTGATTATGCAGGAAATTAAATTCTCTTTTGTAGCAAAATTAAGTCCCATAGTTCTCTCATGGCTTATACACACACATCAGTGGTTTGTTTCTGTAAGTTAAACATATTTCTTAAGTTAAAAGCCTAGTTTACTGGCTGCTCTGCCTATGGAGTAGCCATTCTTTATTCCTTTACTTTCTTAATAAATTTGCTTTCGCTTTATGGATTCCCCTCAAATTCTTTCCTTTGCAAGATTCTAGAACCCTCTCTTGGGGTCTGGATCAGGCCCCTTTCCGGTAACATCTCTCTGGCGAACCACAGAAAGGATAATACTGAGGAGACCCGCCCCCCAGCCCAAAGGAAATAGACTACAGCACTGACTGAGTGACCTTGGGACACAATTGGAGAAACTGCTTATTTTACCAAGGTTTTAACTGGAATGGCGTGTGTTCCTTTAAGGAATCAAACTTGACTTACAGAGTCAATAAAAGCCCCTTGGGAAAACTGGCCTCATTCCTTGTCTACACAGTTCCTGACCTGTGTCCCACAGGCCTATGGAACACAAAAGAATGATCCCACCTATTCCTGTGAACCAACCAGTGATCTCTGGCTGCTGCTCACAAGAAACAAGAGAGATGGGTAATGTTATCCTAATTCTGGGCACATACTGGAATTGGCTAGTGACTACTTATTAGCTTGATTTCAACAACTGCCCAGTTTATGGAAAACCTTCTAATTTAGTTTACTTGGGATAATTTTACTTTTTTCATTTTGCTGTTGTGAAATATATTGCTGTGATTATACTCTTTGTGTAGGAATGCAGGATAAGCTTACTAAATGTTTTCTTAAACTGAACACTTAGTAATCTTCCAGATATCACCTTTTGTCGGAACCCAAGAGTTAAGAATGGCCTTCGCCATACCAGCGCTTTTGAACTGAGCTCCTCTCTACCCTGAATGCAAGAGACCCAACAGTTAGGCAGGGACATCATCACCCCTGTTCAGCATAAAGAAGTTACAGAAGGTGAATCTTCATCCCTCTGCAACCCTTAGGATTAGGGTTTTCTTGTAAAAGGAAGGGGGGAAATATGTCAGAGATGTCTGAACCAGAGCAACTCCATCTTGAATAGGTGCTGGTTAAAATAAGGCTGAGACCTCCCAGGCTGCATTCCAGTTTGTTAGGCATTCTAAGTCTCAGGATGAGATAGGAGGTCGGTACAAGATACAGGTCATTAAAGACCTTGCTGATGAAACAGCATGCAGTAAAGAAGCCGGCTAAAACCCACCAAAACCAAGATGGAGATTAGAGTGACCTCTGGTCATCCTCACTGCTACACTCCCACCAGCACCATGACAGTTTACAAATGCCATGGCAACATCAAGAAGTTACCCTACATGGTCTTAAAAGGTGAGGCGTGAATAATCCATCCCTTGTTTAGCATATCATCAAGAAATAACCATAGAAATGGGCACCCAGTAGTCCTCAGGACTGTTCTGCCTATGGAGTAGCCATTTGTTATTCCTTTATTATTATTTTTTTTTTTTGGAGACGGAGTCTCACTCTGTTGCCCAGGCTGGAGTGCAGTGGTGTGATCATGGCTCACTGCAACCTCAGCCTCCCGGGTTGAAGCATTTCTCCTGCCTCAGCCTCCTGAGTAGCTGGGATTACAGGCGTGCAACACCACGCCTGCCTAATTTTTGTATTTTTATAAATACAAGAGAAAAGGTAGAGAAAAGGTCTCACCATGTTGGCCTGGCCGGTCTCGAACTCTTAACTTCAGGTTATCTACCTGCCTTGGCTTCCCAAAGTGCTGGAAGTACAAGTAAGCCACCGCGCCTGGCCCTTTTACTTTCTTAATAAACTTGCTTTCTCCTAAAAAAATCCTAGTTAACATATATGTTCTTAAAACCAGGGGTGGGGATGGGGGAACAGGGATG